CTAGGTAGATGTATGCCAGGCGCGTCGCAGCGTAACAGTGTTTCGTGAGATATCGCGAAGCCTGTTACGCGAGACGTGGTCTGGCGTACATCTACCTAGTTTTAAATTGTTTTGTAGCTAACTTTTGCGATTTCCTAAAAATAGGCTATGTGGCTTATTACTCTACTTTTCCGGGTTCGTACATATTCACATCCTAATAAACAGACGTAGTGAATGATCTTGTGGAGCTTTAACTGTGTCTATACTCGTGTGTTTATCATTGTCTTCGCACTAGCTTTCAGCGAGTCGTCATGCATTTGCCAATCCCCATATGTTAGCTAATTCAGGGTCCCAATTCGCAGCCACACAATACATCTCAGACACAGCTTTGTCCGTGCTATCACGAGCTCAGCTTCGTATGTTAGTTTTTGAGTAAAGTCTAGAAAATGCTGTTTTGTAGTCAAGATAGCTTAGTATGCTACAATTGTGGGTTCGTACTTGTTCACACCCTCATAAACAAATGTAGTGGATGATCTAATGGAGCTGTTGCTGTGTCTAACCCAACTTGTTTTTTATTGTTTTCGCAGTAACTGTCAGCGATGCCTGATGCGTTTGTCAATCCCCAGATTTTGCCCAGGGTTCGCAGCCACAGGTTCCATAGCGAGGTCAGAATCTTATGTTCAGGATTTTTAGCCCGCCCTTCTCCTTTGAAAAAGCTATCCAGCGGGCTTATGCAAACGATCTCGTGTCTGTCTGTGTGTCTGTCTGTTCCACTAGAAGGAGATGTGTTACAAATTTGAAATTTTCAGGGTATCTTAAGGTCCACTCCTAGAGGACGAAACGCCTACGGCAAATCCTGGCAACCACCCCTAAGGATGTGAATGGGGGTATCCAAGGTTCAAAAATTCTTCCAAAAAGTCCGTTTCGCTCTATCTTTAACCGTTTAGGGGCTAGAGGGTCTTTTTTGACGAAAGTAAGCGACAAGTTGCCATAGTGAACAATAAGTTGTAGAAAAAGGCCTAAAAAGCGCAAAATAGAAAGGAAACTCCCCCCACCCCCAAAAAATGTTTTCTAAGCAGAGGGGTGGGTTGTAGTCGCGGTGCTTCACCGTTACATCCCTTTCTCGCTCCGCCGGCAACTCCGTTCGGCAGGGGCCGGGCCTGCTTGGCCTGCCGGTGGCGGTGGTCGGGCCTGCGACCCGACTATTTCCGTCACGCGTTGTTACGCGTTGTTACGCGTTTTATTGAAGAACGTGATCGAATGATATGTAGCGGGCCTTTGGCCCGCTTAAACCCGTCGTCTTTGAGTTTGCCCCAAAGACTCGAGAAGGGGATGTAACGGTGAAGCACCGCGACTACAACCCACTGTTGTGGCTAGGAATAAGATTCGAATAATGGCGCCCCTAG